AAAAAAGGGATATTCCTTCTACTTGATATACCATCTAGGACCATTTGCATGACGGAAGAATAGAGACAAAGCTGGGTTGCTAACTCCTCTGTTAGCCAGCAATATAAGTTGATGTGTTGTACAATTATTCAATGATTCTAAGGACCCTCTACATTTCAGTCATCAAACGCCACTTGGGTTTCAAGGGTGCCAAATATATTTGAAAATAACGTCACTTATTTTAGAAATAGGATTCAAATATCCTATCAGGATTCTCCTTTGAAAACATCAGTATCTTATTTATAGGTTCTTTGGTTTTAGTTATTTGCTAGCTCTGCTGAGCAAAATTGCTGTACGAACAACCAAACAGCTAAGCTCAAAGGTCAATACACCCCATTATTCTACTTTCAGCAGCTACTACTGCTGTAAAACTAAGTTATTAAACGCTTATCGAAAAACATAAGAGCAGGGTACATACCAAAGAGCACTCTTTTCATCGTACTCTCATAGCTCCTGGCGACGTGTGATGTGACTAGTCACATAACTGATACATGGAGCTTCACGTACAGATCTTTAGTTGCACTAGCACCAGTACATTTAAAGTTCCAGTTTTCAAATCCGAACAGAACAAGTACTAATCTTATGTTACTCCAACTACATGTGCTGGAAACAAACACACAACAAATCTGAAGACCACTGTTTCAAAAAAAGTCCTTCGACTCAACATAAACAAAGGCTTACAGCCTCCAAGGGAATAAAATAAGTATCAGTGCATTTGCCATGAAAAAGTAGAAGGCTGGTAAGCAGTATGGAAGGCCCTAAAAATGCAAAAGATCAGTGTGACTGTGAAAGGCCCTCTATGGGCAAGGAAGCAATAAAGACTTCCATGGAAAAAGAGGGCTTATGCAAGACAGTCAAAGTCTCAAGCACAAGCTCAGATGGCACATAAAGCCAGGGTCTATATTTGAAAGAACTCTTTCTTCCCAGATGGAATGAAAAAGAACACAGAATTCAGATTTTCTGTAGGTTTTGCCAAAAGGAAAGGAGATTAGAGAGCTGGAGATCAGTGGGAAGAGATTTTGAAAATGGGATCAACAAAACTGGACTGGGAATGAACTGATCTGAAGACAGTGTATGCCCAAGGAACACACACCACCTATTTTTTATTTGAAGTTTTTCCACCAGTTTTGTTCACATGAGTAACTCTACTCATGGCCCACTCTACTGTGATTCTATGATCCGTAAGAAATTTTTCACTCAGAGGGTGGTGAGGCCCTGGCACAGGCTGCCCAGAGAAGCTGTGGATGCCCCATCCTTGGAGGTGCTCAAGGCCAGGCTGGATGGGGCTTTGGGCAGCCTGGTCTGGTGGGAGGTGGCCCTGCCTATGGCAAGGGGGTGGTCTTTAAGGTCCCTTCCAACCCAAAGCATTCAGTGATTATGCAGTTCTACTGGCAACTGTGGAATTATCTAGGTATTTAAATGCCAGTGGAGTCTACATTCAATCCCTCAGTGTCATCAACAGCAACAAGGGTTGTGAGGCATTGGAACAGGCTGCCCAGGGAGGTGGTGGAGTCACCATCCCTGGAAGTCTTCAAAAGACATTTAGATGTAGAGCTTAGGGATATGGTTTAGTGGGGACTGTTAGTGTTAGGTTAGAGGTTGGACTCGATGATCTTGAGGTCTCTTCCAACCTAGAAATTCTGTGATTCTGTGAAAACCATGGAGCTACCTCTAATCTCCTTCTTATAACCTGTTAGCTCTCAAAGCATAAAAATGACAGCCATCTTATGGTGTAATGGCGCTTCCCTGGCTCTAGAGTCTTTGCAGTCTCCTTTTTTTCATCACTCTTCTTCCCCCAATTTTCTCCCTTCTGCTGGTGAGAGAACTTTAAATCAGATGAAAGGTGCCGTTAAGTATTCATGTAACTGGAAGTTCTACAGAAAGCACTGAATCTCCAGCTTTTCAGCTATGTAAATTTGCTCCACAATGCTTTATTAATTTGTTGGTTTTTGTTTTTTTTTTTAATTGTATGGTTTAACATAACATCACCAACAAAGTCGTGGGCCACATTCTTCTTTTACTAATATAAATCTGGGAGAAGCTATACTGAAGTCACTTGAACTAAAATAGCGTGAAAACCAAAAAGAATGCAAAATTAAATTTTCCAACTTCAAAGATCTGCAGGAAGCAAGAGATGATGACTGCAATTATTATATGCAATCAAGATTCTGTTTCCATAAAGAAATCCATAGCAAATTAAAAAAGACAGGAAGGGATGTACAGAAAGTGTAAGTAAAATGAACATGCTTTCAAGTAGAGTTTTTCCCATAAAGTCAGACTTCAAGAGAAACGTAGCCGCCCCACAGTAGTGGCTGCTGCAACTGACATCTTAAGACGCCTAATTAGGTCACTCTATGCATGCACTATCATCATTTCATACCACTCTAACATGCTGGGGAAAACAACCCCCTTAAGAAAAGGGAAGCATTTTGGGATATAAAAAACACAGTAAGTATCAGCTAATGAGGAACAGAGAAAGAAAAGTGCCAAACACTGTAAAGCCCTGAAACTTAAGATAATGACTAAAATTTATGACTGCTTCCTTCCCTGGCAGACAGGAGTACAATTAGAATTCTCAAAACAACAATCCCTTTGTGCTGGCATGCTGTTATGTTTATACTGCTACAGATAGACTAGAAGATAAAAAAGTAAATAGTACAGCACCCTTTTTAACCCAAGATAATAGCACACTTTTTTTTTTTTTCTTTCTTTCTTTTTTTTTTTTTTTTTTTTAACGTGGCTTTGGGCACAGTTTTGCACATAGCTTAGTCTTAACTGAAGTCATTTGGGTAATTATCATTGCATGGGCAGGAATTAACCATTTACGTTAGCTTGCTATATGCACAGAACCTCTGTTTGGAAAAAAAAATCACATGAAACAAGAACAAACGAGCTATTATGAGTCACTTAATAATTCCCTTTGCTGTCCAAACAGCTTGACATTTAAACAGCTTAAATTATTCCTTTATTTCCATTTTTTAAAATTTGAATGTGCTTGGCTTGATGAACTGTTGAAAGAAAAGCATCAGGAAGTATGCATGTCCTTTCTTTCATCCTTCACTTATATTCAATGATATGGATCACTTGGAACAGACAGTCGTTAGAAGAGGCATAAGGAAATACTGTAATAATGCTTATAGGTTTTCTCATCTCCTTCACAAAGAAAGCACTATTACAATATTCAGAATACGCAATCTGGATAACCACAGATGGTTTTGCAACAGAACACCCTGCAGGCATTCCCTACAGATTCTGGGAAAGGTACATGCTGGGGAAGCACTGACATCTTCCTAAATAGACATAGCATACCAGCAAATGAATCTTGAAGATTTCATCTACTGTGTGCTGTCATTTTGGCCTACACAGCTCTTGTCCCTTGCTCCTTCCTTTTGTATCGTGTGTACATCTTGCTCTTCCTGGTTCCACTGATCACTACTCCTGTCATACACCTAAATAAAATGGCTATCTTCTTACTCATTTACAGTGATGGGTCCATAAAGACCCATGTCAACCTGTAAGCATCATGCCTTTGAAATAAGAAATCAGTAAGCTGCTCTCCCCATTTCATACGGCTTCAAGAACATGTTACTCAACATCATGCTTACCTACAAATCAAACCTCCATGCAAAGCATCAGAAAATATAATCTGTAGTAGGCATCCAAAGCAACCAGGTCTCTTGACACTTTCATTTATGGGTTAATTGAGCAAAGAACTATCATTGCAAACTCAGTTTATGAGTATAAATAACTCATAAGTTATTTATAAAGCAATGAGGCTTATCTGACAAAGGAGAGTGTCACTGAATGCCGAAGTCTTAAACATTGCAGATCTTTTTAAAAGTAAATCTAAATCTAAATCTAAATCTATACAATATTATTATTGCATGCCAGCAGTATTTTCTACTTTTTTCCTTAAGTAAGATTGCAAGAGGAAATCTGGAGAAAGAAATCTACAGAAATACAAATCAAAACGTAGCATGAAACAAAAAGTTTCATTACTTGCTTAATTATACAGTTTGTAAAACAAAATCTAACGCAGTAAGCTTAGCAGTTTGAACTTCTGGTTCATCTAAGCACTTAGGCTGGCAGTTGACAACTGCTCTAATAGTTCCATACAAAACTAATAGTCTGTGAATACAGCTTTCCCTTCAGTCCTCCCCTTTCAAAATAACATTGCCTTTAATTCCTCCTTTAGATGTTTTTTCCGTAATATATATGCCTAAAAGCATCAATTCTAGTGTTGGCACTAGGCAAACTGTGAATCAAAATAGTGTTTCATTCTCTGCTATGAATAAATACTGTATCTGATTACCAACTTGCATATTTCTTATAACAGACAAAAAAAAATGGGGAATTTTAATTGTTAGACACTGCCATACTAGTACAACTAGTAGAACTAAAATTTTATTGTCACTGCACAACTGGAAAATGAAAAATATTTAATTAAGCTTTTTATTCTCCACAATTCCATGAAAATTTGATAATATAATCCTTAAGTTTTGCCTTCCTCAGCTTCCAAAGACCAGTGTTTGACTATAAAATCATAAATCACAAACAGCTTATCAATAAACTCTGCATCTGAATTTTAATATGCTTCTGTTTTGTCAAGACATAATGGTGAAGTCATTGACAAAAGAAAACATAACAAAATGATAGCAGTATCAAGTACTGAGATGAATAGATATAATAAAAGAACTTCAGTTTTGCAAATGAGGAAATTCAGAGACATATCTAATAAGCTTATATTTTTCTTCCTGAGCCTGATGAAAACTAAAGTTCATAGCACAAAGGATGTAAGTAAAGAAAACTAAGAAAACCCTACTAGGCAACTAGAGTTTTAAAACTGATTTAACAAAAATAACACAGCAACTTCATATTGATAGAAATTTGACACTGTTAATTAGATGATAAAAAGGAGTCTAAATAAATATAGAAGGTGAGATACCAAGAATTTTATTTACCTAGCCATTCCCAGGCTGGAAAAGTTGGAAGGAACTATCAAAACATCAAGCCTGGAAAAGGGATGGGTGCCCAGTGTTGTGTAAGCAGCTGAAAGGCACTGAGGAATGAGCTGAAGTAGATGTTCTTCACAGCATTTCATAAGGCACCAGGGAGCAAAGACTCTGTAAGGAATGACTCTCTGCAACCTGGCAGCAGGACTTTGGAAACGGCAGGGATATTCCACATGTCCACAGCTTTCTTCATGCCATCTGATAATAACAAGAACAAAAAATGGATTAATACGATATCAGAAACATGCACAACAGAGTATATTAACTCAAGGATATTTCCTAAGCACTGGAATGATATTTTCTAGTCACCAGAATCACAGAGTTAGTTCACATAAAACCATCTCATTTATCTTCTCATACCATTCATTCATGCAAAGCACTGTGAAAACATAGGTCAGAATCTTTACTACATACCTTACTGAAACTGATATAGTTACTCATAACTAAAAAAGATGAGAGTAGTCAAACCTTCTTTTTATAATAGATGTGAACCAATTGAACAAGTGCTGAAAATGTAGATAAACTAAGTAATAATACAACAATATTTGTTCAGAGAATTCCTGTTTAAATCATAACATTTTTATTTACCCCATAAACATATCAGGTGCAATAGAATGAAATTTAAAGTTTTTCTGTTGTTGTTGTCAGTAAAAAATTTTCTAGGAGTTTTTACAGTATTTTTTTTTCTCAGGTAATACATTAGATACCAATTCAGTCTTATCATCATAGACATTTCAAGCTATCACATTAGGATCTAGATTATTTTACATTATCCTTACAGAATATTCAAAACTGTAGCTGGAAAGATGAGTAAACTTGATCCTTCCTAAACACTGAGTCATATACCTTTACAATAATTCATCTGCCCAAATAGACTTGTATCTAAGCAGAAATCAGCTTCATGTTTTCACCTCCTAGGTAGTCTTCTGTGCAGCACAGAACCTCTCCTTGGTTTCAGATTTCATCTTAAAGAAGCTGGTTCTATTATGCCTTGACAGGCAAAGCATTTACTGTTACTGCACCAAGTATCACCAAAAGCATTTATATTTGTAAGATCATGCTCCAGGTGAGTGCTGACACACAAAAACAAATGAAAACATGTAGGAAAGAACTACATTTTACAGAAGTGCCAAAACTTTTAACACCTTATATAACTTTTTTTTTTTTTTTAGTGAAAGATGTAGACATTGATTACATATATTAGCAGAGAAACTACATCCATCATTATACATTTTTTTCCAAAGGGTAGTTTAAAGCAGAATATTTTTTTCCCTAAAAGAATGTAACTTTGTATTTAATTGTCAGAGTTGAGACTAGGCAGGAACCTGAAAACTAGCACCCTATCTCTTGTGGAAGTTGCCATGGAGTCCTTAAGAAGATAGAAAACTTATTTTACATTCTAGCTCCACTTAATATTTTGACACAGTCTCCTTATGTCAAACTCACTGGCACATGGATATAAATTACATTACACCTTTAAACACCTCCAGAAATCCCTCGTCTTCCTGCCATACAAGAGTCTATCCCCATTACCTTCTGTGAGACACTACCTTAATATGTGCTTGTCTATATCCACTTCTCATCTTTTCCAGAAAGCTCCGCTAATGGCTTGGTTACATAGTCTTAATAACTAAATAAATAATAAGTATTTGTTTTGCTAACTCCCAAATAAACATTATTTTTTGTCAGTTTTTCTTTCAAGACATTAGTTGTATTTATTTCACTGTCACTACTTTATCTATTGTAGATACATCACCTCATCTCTGTCAATTAACTCACCCAAAAGGGATAATAATAACGACCATCATACTGATTAAAACTTGCAGTAACTTTTGCTAGAAAAAGTTACAAATACATTTCCCAGTTTCCAGATTTTTTACAAAAAAAAAAAAAAGCTCATTTACTCATTTACTCTATCACGACACTTGTCAGAATAATCTTTTGCATTAAATCAATAAAAAATACCTATTCCTGAACAGGCTGTACTTAACAATTACTGATTATTCCTGTTTAGGTAGTCATATTAGAAACATATAAACATATAGATGAATAAACATAAAACAATTTCTAAAAGATTATCAAACCTACAAACTATTTTGAAGCTTGACTAGGCATGTCTTACTGATCTTGGGCAAAACATGAAAGTTCCTATTCTCAAGATTTATTAGCATTTGAAAAAAAATAGTCAAGCTGCAAAACACAGAATCCTTTAATTTTAAATTCCAGTAATTATGTCCTCATTTTCCAAAGTCTCACTAACTCTGTCAAAATGGTAAGGACTTCCACAGTCTTAATGTTAACACAGTATTAGCCTCAAAACAGTTACCTAACAACATTTTTTTAGGCTAAGCTTCTAATTGCAAAATAGAAAAAACATTTAAGGAATCTGAAAAGCTGACAGTAATATGTGAGAAAATCAAGTGCCATGTCTGAGACTGCTGTTAACTAAGGTGAACACATGTGGAAACAAGCTATATTGCTCCACAACATTAATTTTTAACTTCATTTCTCATTTGCAAGCCTATGTACTATTGTGATGTTCATTCACAACCCCGTAATAATTTAAACACTATGATCAGTTTTGACTGGATTGGAAAGAGGGATAGATACATTCATAATAATTACTTTTCTACACATTTGGTGAAAAATAGCTAAGAAGCCACTGCACATACTGGACAACAAGCTATTTCTTTTATTGAATAGAATGAAGAATCCATCTTTCTTTCACAGGACCACCGCAATACTACACACCACCCTAGGCAAAACACTGCAAAGGCCAGCTCTAACTTTGGGATGGGACTGGACTGGAAGGGAAAAGTAGGGGACTTGGAGTGAGTAGGCACGATGGTACTAGAGCGTATTACGCATCCAGAATAGCCCAAGCCTAGTAGCATCACAGATATTGCAGACAGGCATTGTAATAAAAGATGGAGAATCTGGTACTGTTACAGCAGGGCATTAAGCACGACAGGATGTAGGATGCAAATCCAGAAGACATTAGGATTAGACCTATCACTCACTAAGCAGCCTGTTTTCACATAAAAAGAACCACATTGTTACCTGTGAAATAAAGCCTTTGGAATTATTTCCATGTAAAGATTTTTTGGTTCACATTTAAAAAGTTCTATTTTGATTCCTGTACTGAAACGGCTCCATTCCACAGAGTAAATGAAAATGCTATGCATATATACCATTTTTCAACAATAATCTAAACACCAACCTGAAATCAGCTTGTGAACATGGCAAAGAAAACTCATTGTTTGTCTGGACAGCAGGTGTGAAGGACTGTTTAACTTCTTGCCAGCATCCCACAGCGATAGTGAAGGTGGATGCTGGCATTGGCATTGTCACATAGTAGTACCAGCTCATGATACCTGTGAGTAAAAAGAACATTTGTACAGACTCATCAGTCACAGCACACAGACAGTACTTGATATTTTTATGTACTTGAGATTGTGGACCAAACCTCTTGCCATACATCATGGTTATTTATGTTGAAGAAGGGAAAATAATTCCACTGGGACAAGTAAAAGCAGTCATATGTAACCACCACAGATTCAGTATTGTTCGCTTACACCCACATTCCTCTGTCTGCTGATTTTTCTATCTATAAGAAAAAACAATCATTGCTGAGATGTTATTAATGCAACTTAACATGACTGTACTCTTACTGACCAAGAAGTGCACCAGATACAAAATCTAATAGAATCTTCAGACACAAAAAGATTAACATTTAATTCTTTTGACCCTGGATCACCACCTCATGATTTTGTCTTATCTGTATGACCTTGCACAGAACAAACACTTTTCTTTGTGTTCTGGACAGTACCAAACTGACAGGAAAGATTTAACAAACAACACTAGTGCTTGTGAATCAGACCTGGCAATCTGAGATACATGATGTGCCAAACAGGCAGTCAGAAATCAAAGCTCAGAATCAGATGGGATATTGCCAAAGTCAATGATTTGGTCATGATAATCCAGGAGCTGCTATAACAAGATTAGAGAGTCTATTAGAAGCTAAAAAGATGAGTCTTATCAGTATGGGAACACAGTGCTGGAAGACAGAGAGTACACTATAGGCTGACTGTATCTGTGAACATGTGTGGACAAACTAGAGGATATTTTAGGACAGCATACCTTTCATTAATTTAAATGTTGCTTAGGTTTTCCATTTGTCCCTCTAAAAATGAATACAGCTTAAGGGTGAAATTCAAGTACTCCCTTATGGACCCAAATACAGTTACTACACCATATTAATAACTTAATTGCTCTTGGAACGAGCCTTAAATGAGTTACAAACTACAGAATCATGCACAAATAAGTGTAGCCATGGAAACTGTGAAAACATACAAACTTCAGTTGTTTTAAGAGAACATTAATACTTGCAATGGTATTCTAACCAGGGCTACGGAACACTATCAAAATGAAAAGAAAAGAAAAGAAAAAAAAAATCCTCTGGCTGCCACAAGGCATAGAGAAAAGAAACAACAGCACAGCTAAATTACCTGTGGGTCTCCTAATGCACAGAACATCAAGCTGTTCAAAGAAATGACAAGTAAAAAAACCTTTTTGCATACCCTCAGTAAATTTTGCCACCTACTATTTTGTATAAGAAAACAATATTGTATAAAGCAATCTAAGAGGAAGATAAAGCCTCTGCCTCTTACATGCCCTAGCAACCACCTACACTCCCTCAGTCCATTCTGCTTCTGGCAACATTTACCATTACCATCAGAAAGCTTTGATCTGTATTGTCAGCTGAACATATATTATTCCTGTAATTCTCCTAACCTTCCAACAGCATGGGAGTAGAGGGAACTTACTTGCTCCAAACACATTTGAAACAAAGAGGACAACTGTTTTGCCAATTTATTTATTTTTATTTTTTTTTTAACTTACCAAAGCTAGCAAAGAGCCAAGGAAAGCAAATCCCACTTCGAGAGAAAGATGCCACCCAGGAGAGCAGCAATTTATCTTTTTGAAATAGTAGACTGTCATGTAGTAGTGCAATGTAGAGCTTCACTGATATAAACTGTGCTAAAAGCCCACGCCTGCTCACACTGAAGCCAATAGCAGCTTTTCCTTTCACTTCAATGGGCGCAACAAAAGACTGAGAGGTAGCCTAAAAAACTTCACTTGGTGTAGTATCTGTTATGTAAGATGTGTTACAAAATGTTCTATGCAGTTATGTTAACCGTAAAGCCTTCAAACAGCAAAGGAAGAGAATTTGAGGAAAAACTAATGCATTTTCAGCTGTGTTCTGAAGTAAGAATGAAAGTCAAAAGGCAGTCACAGAAAAACTGTTCACGATGGCAGAGAAGGTACAAAGGAGAAGGCTCCCACAGCAGTGAGAAGATTGTCTGAAAGGAAAGAGGTCTGGGCCATGCAAACAGAGGCAGTGGAGAGGGTTACAGTGAGAAACATGTTTAGCAAGGCAGGCTGGAGCAAGCAAGACCATAGAGGTTTTGGGGGTTTTGCTGTTCTTTTTTTTTTTTTTTTTAATTTCATTTGAACAGAATGTTGAAATGAATGGGGAGTCAGTTTAGCAGTCCAGAGAGAAGAACAACATGTACTGCACTCACAAGTTAATACGAGCTGGCAACAAACATATGCTTTTCAGAGCCAGAGCAAACCTTGAAAAAGGAAGAAGGTACCAAAGAAAACAGAAAATCAGTTTTCTTGATATGTGTCTCCAGATTTATGTAAACTTGGGTTTCCTGAAGAAGAGACAAGAAACTGACATACAGCTCCTCCTCTGTTTTCCAAGTCCTGTATATTTTACAGGCATTTTAGAGACCATGCAAACTCTGGATGTTCCTAGAACAAGATCCAAGATTTATATTGTCTTTATACATGCAGCTTGGGCTCATTCTATTTCTTGCAGGGATTTTAGATGCCCTCTCCATCCATACTCTAGAACTGTATATGATAACTGTATATTTATCCCACAGCAGTTTTCTCTTGAACAACTGAATCATGAGCACTGTCATGATCATTGAATCACAAAATGGTTTAGGTTGGAAGAAACCTTAAAGATCACCCAGTTCCAACCCCCCTGCCATTGGCAGCGACACCTCCCACTAGACCAGGTTGCTCAAAGCCCCATCCAGCCTGGCCTGAAACACTTCGAGGGATGGGGTATATACAGCTCCTCTGGGCAACCTGTTCCAGTGCCTCACCACCCTCATGGTAAAGATTTTCTTCCTTATTTCCAATATAAATCTACCTTATTTTATTTTAGTGGTATTGTCATACCACTACACTCCCTGACGAGGTGTCTCTCTCCATCCTTTTTGTAGACCCCCTTTAAGTACTGGAAGACAGCAGCAGGTCTCCCTGGAGCCTTCTCTTTTCTAGGTTAAACAATGCCAACTCTCTCAGCCTGTTTTTACAGAAGAGGTGCTCTAGCCTTTTGAACATCTTCACGGCCCTCCTATGCACTTGCTCTAACAGGTTCATGACTCTCTTGTGCTGGGGTCCACAGAGCTGAATGAAGTACTCCAGGTGAGGTCTCACAAGAGTGCAACAAGGGCAGAATTAGCTCCCTGGCACTGCTTGCCATGATTCTTTTGATGCAGCCCAGGATACGGTTGTCTTTTTGGGCTGCAAATGCACATTGCCAGCTCACGTTGATTTTTTTTATCCACCAGAAGTCCTTTCCAGACCCAAGTCCTTTTCCACAGGGCTGATTTCAATGAGTTCTTCTGTGGTCTGTCCTCATGTCTGGGATTGCCCTGACCCAGGTGAAGTACCTTGGGCTTGTTGAATCTCATTAGGTTCATGTGGGCCCATCTTTCAAGCCTGCAAAGGTCTGTCTAGATAGCACTCCCTCCCTCTGTTCAACTGCACCACTTAGCATCACTTGGTGTCATCCACAAACGTGCTGAGGGTGCACTCAGTTCCACTGTCCATTTCACCAAAGTAGATATTAAAAAGTACCAGTCCCAGCAGGGACTGCTGAGAGGCACCACTTGTCGCAGATCGCCACCTAGCAACTGTGACATTGACCACCACTCCTTGGATGCAACCATCCAGCCAATTCCTTATCCACCAAACAGTCCATGCATCAAATCCATGTATCCCCAATTAAGAGACAAGTATCTTGTGTGGGACCACATCAAAGGCTTTGCACAGGTCAACACACGACATCATTTGCTCTTTCGTTTTCCACCAATGCTGTCACTCTGTTGTAGAAGGCCACCAAGATAGCCAGGCATGATTTGCACTTTCTGAAGCCATGTTGGCTGTCACCAAGCACCTCCCTGTCTTCCACACATCTTAATATGGTTTCCCAAAGGATCTGCCCCATGATCTTACTGAGCACAAAAGTGAGACTGGCTGGTCTGTAGCTTCCCAGGTCTTCATTTTTACTCTTTTTAAGAATGGGTGTTACATTTCCCCTTTTTGAATCACTGTGAACCTCACCTGACTACCATGACTTTTCAAACTTGATGGATAGTGGCTTTGCAACTTCACCTGCCAGTTCCTTCAGGACCCTAAGACACATCCAATTGGGTCTCATGGACTGATCTTCGATGGTGGATGGGACTTCATTCTCTTGGTCCCTGCCTTGAGACTTGGGAAGCATAGTAAGAGCAATTGCTGGTGAAGACTGAGGCAAAAAAGTTGCTGAGTACATCAGCCTTCTCCACGTCAGCTGTAACGAGGTTCCTTGTCACACTTATCATAGGGGTTATGATTTCTTTTGTTTTCCTTTGCTGTCTTGTGTACCTGTGGAAAGTCTTTGTGCTATTCTTCACATCCCTAGTCAGGCTTCACTCCAGCTATGCCTCATCTCTCCTGAGATCCCTACACTACCAGGCTGGATCCCTATAATATTCCCCGTATGTAGGTCACTGCTTCCCCTGTCTATCCATTTCCATTTTGCGCTTTTGTTTGGTTGAGAGGTCCTGATGCAGCCATGCAAGGGAGCTCTCTCTAAAATGTGTTAACTGATGAGTGACTTAAATGGTCTTTATATAGGCAACACTTCTCTACATAAGCTACCATGAAGTACTGTTTCAAATAAGAGTCCCATTTATCTTCTGTCTTCTCTCTCTGGTATGGCTATCTCCCAACTTCCCATTTTCTTCCATAACTTTAATTCCTTTAGTTAACTTCCTTCAGACCAGTGGTTTTGTTTTGTTTTCCTTTATCTATATCCCCACTATGCCTCGGGATCACAAGCTCCACTCTGCTCCTTTTCCGATTTCTCATGCCTGCCCTCTAATTTCCAGTGGCTTCCTTGTAGACAGCACCACCTCTAGGGTATGAGAAAGTAGTGCAGATCAAAATAAGATGGCTACCCTTTCTCTACTAGAAATAATAGCATTTTGTACCACCAAAAAAAAACAAACACATTTTCAGACTA